CGGTACTACCGCCTCTACAACCGCAACTAGTGCCGCAAAACCTGACACGAGAAAAAGACCCCTCGAGTCGAGGCGGTAGGAGCCACACAGCCCAGCGGTACTACGGTAGCGGGGTCACGGGCGGTACTACCGCCGTGGAGCGGTACTGCCGCTTGTGACCCTTCGGCCGTACTACCGCTGGTAGTGCGGTACTACTGCTGGGGCACAGAAGAGAGAGAGAGAATCTCTCCAAAGAGGCTGAGGACGAGGCGGAGGTGCCAGGCACCCCAGCGGTACTATTGCTGTGGAGCCACGGGCAGTACTACCGCTGTGGAGCGGTACTGCCGCTTGTGGCTCCTCAGTGGTACTACCGCTGGGTTGCGCGGTACTACCGCTTGGACCCAGACAGGACAAGGAAGAGAGGAGAGATCTCTACAATGGAATGGAAAAGCTCGGAGGGTGAGAAGCTGATGTGTACGTGTTGATTCCACCCATGCAATACCCCAGCGGACCCCCTCTTGATAGTACGGTGCCATCTACGCAACTAGTCCACCGAGAAAGAAACGAAAGAGCTACACCATCTTGAAATATACTCCGAGGGGAAGAAAACGTCTCGTGCCAGGGGAGAATCTGTGAATTATTCAAAGCACAAGATTAGTCCGCAAACATGTTGTCATCAATCACCAAAACTACCTTGAGAGAGATATGCCGTAACACCGGTCCTTGATAAAAAAATAAAAAGGGTGAAACTCAACGAACACATTGTTGTCACGAGTTAATTTAGGAACTGAGAGTAAACTACGTGTGACTGAGGGAACACGAAGGACATCAAGCAGACACAAGGTTTTAGTGGTACGTGAAAGGAGAGATGCCTGACCAACATGTGAGATGGGCATACCTGATCCATTTGCAGTGCGAACTTGATCATGGCCGGTGTAGGGCCGGCGAGTGGCCAGTTTGTCAAGCTGGCTCGTCAAGTGGTCTGTGGCGCCCGTGTCCATGTACCAGGCAGGATCCACAGAGTATGATGGAGTGAAGCCAGGATCCTGTGTAGCGAGAGCAGCTTGCTTCTCATTGCCCTTCCCATTGTTCCCAATGCCAAGAAAATCTCGTTTGAAGCGACGATGGCAGCGAGACGCCAAGTGTCCCTCAATACCGCAGAGTTGACACTCAACCCCACCACCACACGCTTCACAGTGGAGCCGCTTGTGGCCAGACGTCGGTGGAGGTGGAGCGGGCAGACGGGGCTGGCTGCCCGAAGATGACAGCGCCTTCTGCTTGGCACCGCGAGCACCTCCGCGAAGAGCAGCGTTCGTAGATGGACCCTCCGAGTAGACGCCAACGGAGCGGCGAGCAACGAGTCGTTGTTCGGTGTTGAGGAGGCGTGCATAGAGATCGCGAGGCGGCGTCGGCGTGTCACGTCCGTTGATGTTTTCAACAAGGGAATCATAGTCCTCGTCAAGCCCATTGAGAATGAATGAAGTGAACTCCTCGTCAAAAAGAGGCTTCCCAATGGATGATAGTGTATCAGCCAGGGTCTTGACCTTGTTGAAGAAGGTCGTGACGGAGAGATCATTTTTCTTGACCTCACCCCGCTGATTACGGATGGCAGAAGACCGAGCCAGCGACTGTGAAGAGAAGCTGGAGTCGAGCGTGGCCCATGCATCCCTCGACGTCGCGGCAAAGACCACCATGCCGGCCACGGAGGGAGTGAGCGAGGACTGAATAGCACCCAGAATAGCCTGATCCTGAGCGATCCACCGACGATGAGCAGGGTTGGACACCATGACAGAACCACCTGCAGCTGAGGGCACCGGAACCATGGCCGGCGGACAGGGCAGCGTACCATCGACATACCCCTCAAGGTAGTGACTACGCATCAGCGGTAACACCTGAGCGCGCCACAGGAGGTAGTTATCAGCAGAGAGCTTCACCGTCGCCAGATGAGCAAAGTGGAACGGTCCTGGTTCGGACACTGATGCGGGAAGCTGCGAGTCATACGTCGGAGGGGCACTGTATGGAACCAGCATCGGCCGACGGAGGCAGCACACGGGAGTGTTGGTGATGACCGTAGGGCTGCACAGAGGGCACGCCGTAGGACTGCAGAGGTGGCGCGGTGTGCGACCTAGGAGCTCCGTAGGGCGCGCCATGCAGTGCCTCACTGGGTACGACGGGCGACATCGCATACGGCGTCGAGGACGGAGCAACGTACGATGCAGGGTATACCCCGCCGTAGGGCTGCTGGACAGGGGCATCGTAGAGGCCCTGAGGGCCGTATGGGTGCGGAACGGGAGCGTCGTAGGGTTGCTGTGGAGGAGCGCCATAGGGGCCAGAAGCCAGCGGCGCATCGCGGGATTGGCCCGGGAACGCGCCGTAGGGACCAGCGCCAGAAGCCAGCGGCGCATCGCGGGAATCGCCCGGGGCAGCGCCATAGGGACCAGCAGCCGGCGGTGCGTCGCGGGATTGGCCCGGGGCAGCGCCGTAGTGCACCGGGGCGACAATCGAGGCGCCGTAGGAGGGCGCGGGAGACCGAGCCGATGCAGATGGATCGAGTGCGGGAGATCGGGACGGCGCCATCGGGCGCGAGTCCGAGGCCGCCTGCCGAGCCCAGGCGAGCGGTGTGGACGCCATGAAGGGTGAGTCCGTTGCCAGGGTCGAGGGAGGCGGACGGCAGAGGAGGCCGACGTGGCGGCGGCGGCGGCAGCAGAGGAGGCGGAAGCGCGGCGCGAATCGAACGCGTCGTCTGATACCATGTTATACAAATTAGGATTTGGAACAATGCTCGATACCCTTGATGGGTACGGCTGTCATATATTTATAAGAGGGAACCGTACAAGTACAGGTTATGTTACAACACGTATATCTAATATATACTTAGTCTAACAAGTTACGTGGGCCCAATCGAGTTATGTACCAGTGAGCTTAAGTAGGTAGTTACAAGCAATGTTGTTGGCGGCAATGCCACCTTCCATGAGGTTGAAGGCCCTTGTGTCACCATAGGCATGCATGCATGTTGAGTTAGTTAGTTGCTTACTTTTGTCGGAATATTTTGGGCGGCTCGTCGATAGAACTTCGCCAGGTCCTTCTTGCGTGCTATAAGCACACGTTGACTCCCAGAGGCGAGGCGAGACCATCCGTCACCGCAGCTCATTGCACAAGAAAGATTTGAAGAATCACTTGGGTATGTTGAAGGAGATGTATGACTACATCAAGGACCATGCTCGACTCACCTGAGATGGTACCACCTATCCGATCCTTTTACGACAGCAGCACTTTGCGCCCACAATCCCAAGTACCAACACCGCAACCCCTAGCACTGACAACACAACCTGAAGAAGCAGCATTGAAGGACCAAGGAAAGGCGTTGAAATCTTAAGGTGTCGCCTTGTAGAAACTTGATATGTAATTGACCATATGGTTCAACCTGAACCTACGTACCATCCATTTATGTTTTCTTCCACTTGTGTTTTCTGCCGTGGATGGTTATAACTTGTGTTTTTCTATGTTATCATTGGATGACTATCAAATTAACTTAGAGGAAATGTCTATGAAATCTACAGACTGTGGCTTCCTGGTGATTCTAACTTGTAAAGGTTGCGAGTGTTCAGCGGCGGCAAGGTAAATAACTAAATATGCATCTACATTATATATCACCCATAAATGTTTAGAAAATGTGACAATGTGTACGAAATGAGGTTCTTCAATAGGTATGCTGTTTACTCTTAGAATATCTATGACTTCTCTAGTACCATAATTCCCAAGCCATGCCATCTTATATTGACTCCGGGTATATATATACCAGTCCGACGCAAACCATATAGAGTTCATAAGTAGCTTTCCATGATTCCATCAGCGAATCAAAGTATGATGTGAGCGTATCATGGTTAGTAACAAGAGTGATTAATTAGTTATGGTCACCTTCAGCAAGACAACTAGATTCCACGGGATAATAGTAAACATATTATTGGTAGCTCATGACGGGCTTTGTGCAGAGACATAACGTGCCAGGCAACTACTAACTGACATCATATGTGTATGGAAGCACGTATTGATGATTCCTCCGACGCGGCCTGTACAGCTGGAATATGAAAATTGATTCGGATTAGGATAGCAGGTGACCTTAGCTCTGCATGCAAGTCAAACCAATACAAGAGACAAACCTGATCTCTGCTCGTTGTATTTATTTATTTTAAAAAGGATGATGGAGCCATGGAGGTTTCTTGTGGGCAAAGGACGTGACAATGAGAAGTTCCTTGTGCTCGAACCATCATGTTTTTTTGTGGGCAAAGTGCACGACTATGCCTCTGCAAGACATTTGTCAGGATTTTTCTTCTTCTTTTTATTTTTTTCAAAAAAGAGGTTGGAACATCCGGCCTCTGCATTATTGTGATGCACACATCCATCTATATTGATGTTGATCTAAGGCAATGAAACATTTGTCAGGATGATCAAGGCTTTTCTCATTCAAAAAACGCTTCGAATAAGGATTATTCATGTAGTTTATGTGATACCAAATCACAACTATTAGAGTAAGTGACTTTGAAAACAAGTCTGGTAGTGATATACCAGCTCCATGCACTCATATATATATAAACCACATATCAACACCTTAATTCTTCCTTGTACAAGGCTATACTCCTTCCCTCCGTTTCAAAATATAATGCTAGTCTTTTAAAAAAGTTAACCTTTCTATGTTTGACCATGTTTATAGAAAGATATCAACATCTGTATCAGTAAGTCACGGAGAATTTGGATAGATCGACCTAATACCTGATTTGTTGCATTTACCTGTCATATAAAATTACAATTACTGACTTTGAAAGGAAACACAGTAGCAATAATAATTCCATGCATTCATATGAACCAGATTACAACGCCTTCAACAAATCTTCTGTAATATGCACAAAACTATATTATAGCACCACCGTACAGTAGGATTTACTATATGAACATATAAAACATAATGGAAAAAACATGCATGCATATACATGCACCAAATTAGATGAAAAAAATGAAACACACTAGGTCTGTGTAGTTGCTAGTTCGTTGTGACGGCGACGCCTCTCATGGGAGAGCTGCTTTGCAAACTTAGCTAGTTGCTCCGCGTTGGTACCCTCGTCGGGTACCTCCACATTCTGGCATGTCTCTAGGTCCACCTGAGATACCTTCTTCCCGAGAAGCTCATTCCCAATCTCCACCAGCTTATCCAAGTTAGCTTTGGAGCAGTCGTCGATTGAGCCTGCGCTTCCGCTTAGTTGACCGTAGCAGATAATTGTTGTGTACATCAATTGATGCAGAGGCCAGGCAGTACTCTCTTTAAATTACCACAATAGGCCACTCATTGTTATGTTTTCTTTTTTGGGTATAATAGGTAGGTGGGTAGGTACCTGGATACGCAGGTATTGATGGGAGGAGCCGAGGGCGGCGGAGAGGATGGAGAGGTGGATGTCGACCATGTCGCCGCTAGCCGCGTTGAACATGTCGAGGATCGGGACGGTGCTGCCCTTGAGGATCCAGTCCAGGATGCCCCACTGGGCGGTGTCCTTAGCACTATACTTGCCTTTCGGATTTGAAGACGTCCCGCAGCCGATGGAGATGACCATGTATGACTTCCCAAGCAAGTCACCGTTCCCAGCCACGATGATGTCCTCTGCCACATGGCTCATCGCGCATAGTGTCTACAGTAGCCATGCACGTGAGATATCGAGTCAGTTGGGCCTGCCAGATGACCGAGTTGTGTGTACCGGTGAACTTAAGTAGTTACAGGGTTGTTGGCGGCGACGCCGCCGTCAATGAGGTTGAAGGCCCTTGTGCCGCCCTTGCCGTCTTCGGTCTCAAAGTAATGCGCCGGGAAGAAGGTGGGTGCGGCGGAGGTGCCAATGGCGATGTCTGACAGGAGCGCGTTCTTCGCTGGCTGGTTCTTCAGCTGGTCAATCATGCATGCACATATGATTAGTTGAATGTTCGTTACTAGGTACTCCCTTGGTCCTAAAATATAAAAACGTTTTTAACACTAGCATAGTGCCAAAAACGTTTTTATATTCTAGGACAGAGGGAGTACATAGGTAGCACCATACCATGCATATGCGTGCATCACATGGATACCTGGTGGTAGCTGGAGAAGATGGTGGGTTGCAGGTGGGTGATATCGAAGGCCGGGATCACCACGCTGGTGAGAGCCCCGTCCAGCTTGGTGTCGCCGAGGTGCCGACGGAGCAACGATTGGAGGTACTTGCCATTGTACTTGGGCCCGGTCACCATCCCCAGAGCTGTGCCGATCTTGGAGAAGATTGAGTCCCTGCACCTTGGCAATTAACTCTCCAAGAATCGATGAAATTACGATGTCGTAAACTAAGGAACTGATGATCCATATACTGGTATGTGTATAGTGATATACATATGAATGCATGCTTAGTTAGTTAGTTGCATGCGTACTTCTGTGGGAAGATTTTGGGCGACTCGTCGATTTAGAACTTTGCCAGATCCTTGGCATCGAACAGCGGCCGTCCATCCTTGTCCGGCGCCGTGAGCATCACCGTCAAAAGGCCACCGGTGCTGGTGCCGGCGACCACGTCGAAGTAATCCGCGATCCGAGCATCCGGCCCGTCCAGTTTCTACAGGCAACACATTACACATGCAGTGATATATGACAAGATCGATTGATGAACATACGTAAAAGTATCTTACCTGGAGCTCCTTCTCAAGGAAGGCGAGGACGGTGGCTGGGATGATCCCTCTCACACCGCCGCCATCGATGCTCAGGATGGTCACCAGCTTATTCACCTTGTCACCTCCTGCAGAAGAACTACTACTTGCCATTGATTTGGAGTTTGGTAACACGTACAGCCCAAGCTAGCTACGAAAACTCAAGAAGAGAATGTGGCAAACTAAGGATTTAGCTAGAAAGAACAAACTTGTTATATATATAGACAGGTCTGGAGCAACCAAATAAATTAACTACTACCTCCGTCCTGGTTTATTAGTCCTCTATGTAATCTGTGCTAAATTTTGATCAAAAATTTAACTAACAAAATGTTAGTGCATGTCAACAAAATTATATTGTTGGATTCGTATCATAGTTTTAAATAGCCGGCTATAGCCCTGCTATAGCTCCGCTATAGCTGTTTGAGGGTGTTGCCGCTAAATGATTTCATGTACAATTTGCCGCTATAGCTCCGCTATAGCCCGCTATAGCCCAGCTATAGCCGTTTTTAAGGGTCGCCGCTAAATACCATAGCCCGCTATTTAAAATATTAATTTGTATTTGAACATAGTTTTTAATGATATAATTTTTGGTGACATAAATGAACATTTTGTTAGTTAAATTTATGGTCAAAATTTGGCACAGATTATAATAAGACCAATAAACCAGAAAAGAGGTAGTAAGAAGCAAGAAACGTTAACTCGTTCCCTCAAATACAGGGTATAATTGCAAAGTCAGACGTCAAAAAGGACAGAACACAACTAATGCTAATATTATATAGTATGACCCCACTGGTTCATTGTGCCCAAAAACAATCACAAAGTCAGATCCTCTCTCTCTCTCTCTCTCCAATCCTTTTTAATGTAATCAATTCTTATAGTTGTGTGTTTTGTATCAACTAGGTACTAGATACCAAGAACAAATAAAATATTTCTTTTCCCAAAAAAAAGTCACATAGTAATTATTTTCTTTGTATGTACTTGTGCGCCCACGAGCCTCGTTTAGAACAGGAGGAGATTATGTTGATGGTTGCTCAATGGATTTTTTCAAACTATTTACTTTCTGTGAGAAAGATTTTTTTTCTAACTATTAACACTGGTACATGCACAAGTATTTCAATTTGTTGTATGAAAAATGCTACAATATATAATTTGATTGCATTTGCATGTTATCTTTTGAGAAACATGGGCGCTTCACAGTTCGTAGTCCAAGGCTGCATGCAACTGCAAGCACCCCTTTCAAATTCATGGCACGAGGCCACAATTGGCTGGATAAGATGCCTCAACAAATGAAGGTAGTTTTTCGGAAGTTGTCAGGTGGTTCCTTTCAACTGCTGATAGCTGGATAATAAACTAACAGTTTGTCTAATTCACATCTAAATGTTTTTAAAAAATGTCACATTTAAGCTCCCACATATATATAATGCAACAACAAAAAACAAAAAAGATTAGGACAAAAAAATAAACCACAAACAGAATAGACATCAGCTTAGATGTGACATAACTATGTCATATAGATGTTTCCTAAAGAGACCCATAAACCAACACCGAGTCAAGCCCCGAATACATGTGTATGTATCTTAGTATCAGAGGGATGTGCAGACGACGTTAAGAATAGAATACGAGCCTTCCGCTATTAAGAGTTTTCAGCCTGATTAGTACTCAGGGGGTGTTTGTTTACAGGGACTTTTTTGTGTAGGGACTAGAAAAAGTCCCTCTTAGAGACTTTTTTACCAAACGGGAGGGACTTTTTAGGGACTAAACTAGGCATTTGGGACTAAATGAAGAAGACTCTCAAGGAGAGTCTTTTTTAGGACTTTTTTGGGACTTTTCCAACAATGCCCATCCATGCATTTAATGGCCCGCCACCCCATGGTGTTGTTTGATTGTTATTTTTCTATATACTAGGGGCAATATGGTCATTTAATAACCTCTAGGAAGGGACTTGGGACTTTTTAGTCTCTGCAAACAAACAGGGAGGGATTTTTTAGGGACTAGAGACTTTTTAGTTGAGACTAGAAAAAGTCCTAGGACTTATGAACCAAACAGGGCCTCAGGCTCGTGTGTGCATGTTGCATGATAGAAATTCTAAATGTTTAAAAAAGGCGTAGCAATGTTTAATCTCACCTTGTTGAGTCAAGGAGGTGGCTAGCAACTTAACAACAACTCTAGTAGAGTGGCTATATCTTTTTTTTAGGAAACAACAGTACTCTGCTGCGTATTTTTATTCATTTTCAAATAAATAGTACAGCAAAATGTTCATAAAAGAGCAAAAGGAAACTATACAGAAGAAAAGAAAACTAGCAAAGCTAGCACTAGCAGAAGAATTGAAAAACAACATAAACAAGTGGACAGTTCATACAAGGTAGGAGCAACAACTGTTGGGTTCAAATAAAAGCTTTCACCCAGTCTTCTAGTCCATGGTATACTTTCCTCCTTGCTCTGAAAGTGAGCCACTTGATTTCTTCCTTGAATCCCTTTCTGCATGCAAATTCTTTACCCATATGACATTTTTTACTAGAACATTCAGTCTAGCAAATTCGTTACCCGACACCCCATCGCTCTAATATTTTAAGCACGCTGCGAAAACTTCCTTGTAGCCTCCATATAGTGCTCCCTTCATCCACCATTTTTTTACGGCACAGACCTTTCAGGATGCCCACACCCTTCCGCCGCCACCCAAATCACCTCATAGCTATGGTTTGTTGTAATCTCTAGTCCCTGAACTGCCGCCATTTTGCACCACTCGCCGCCACTGACCCATTCAAGGCCCTAGCACACCTTGTCACAGCCACATGCCTGCTTCCCCGTCGTTCGGCTGACCATTGCCATGGCTGCACCATGAGAGTTTGGACGCGGGCAAGTCTATGCCGATGTTCCTCCCTTCCCTGGCTTGCTGAGAAAGTCGGCGTCATGAGCTGACCGTTCACAACTCCATCTTCCACATCGGCCGTGCCACATTTCGCCTGCCAGATCTCAACGTGTTCGATGACTTGCCCCAATGTATGGTTGCCCCTAATCTGTCCATGTTTACCCGGCAAAACATGAAAAACCACCGGGCCATGCATGCATACCAGTTACTCCATGCACCGGTGGATATACTTCAAATCCAGAAATCACGCATGTTGGTTACTAGCCAATCTGACGATCGGCTTGTTATCTGATCGGATGGCCATGGACTGGTCTGATAGGAGGCGATGCATCAGTAGTCTGATGCTTAGTGTTTTCTTTTTTTTCATTCTTGGTATTGTACCTATCCAGTTGATACAAACACAAAGGAGTACTATTATAAAAAAAAATCTGTCGAGGACGTAGATTTCTCATAAAATTAGAAAATCATCTACATTGGTGATCACAACTACTACCTCCATCTGGGTTTATTAGTAGTCTTCATCATAGTTTAGGTCAAAGTTTGACCATATATTTGACTAGCAAAATGTTAATGCACGTCGCTGAACATTATATTGTTGAGTTCGTATTTAATTTTAAGTTTAAATGATATTATTTTTGTTACATCTAATTATATTTTATTAGTTAAAATCATGATTAAAATATGACACAAAATGCGAGGGAACTAGCAAATCATGAGGAAGTAAATATAAGATAAGAATAACGACACATCTTCAATTACATTATATTAAAAATGATAGGAGAGAGAGAAAGGATCTGAATTTGTAATATTCTTTCGTGCACAAGGAACTAGTGGGGTCATACTATACTATTAGGAATTTGGGATTAGCTGGTTTTGTCCTTTTTGACCTCTGACTTTGTGATTAAGACCTGCAGTTGAGGGAGCCAACTAATGGTGTTGCTTCTTGATAATTAGTTTATGTGAACGTTGTCTATATACATAACAAGTTTGTCCTTTGTAATAAATCCTTGATCTCCCACCTTCTGTTCAAAACGTTTGCCATTTGAGCCTGGCCTCGTGTTAGCAAACTCCAAATTGATGGCAGGAGGTAGTTCTGCTACAGCAGGTGACGAAGCGAAGGTGATAACCATCTTGAGCATCGACGGCGGCGGCGTGAGAGGGATCATCCCGGCCATCGTCCTCGCCTTCCTTGAAAAAGAGCTCCAGGTAAGTTACTCCACTTTGATATGTTCATCGATGATGCTCTTCGTGTGTAGTATATCATGCTTGTTAACGGAGTATATCACTGCATGTGTTGTGTGTAGAAACTGGACGGGCCGGATGCTAGGATCGCGGACTACTTCGATGTCGTCGCCGGCACGAGCACGGGTGGCCTCTTGACGGTGATGCTTGCGGCGCCGGACAAGGATGGGCTCCCAAAACTCAAGTACAGCGCCAAGGATGCCGCCAAGTGGGGCATCTTGAGCTGGCTCATCAAGGACGGCTCCGTACCCATCCTCGACATGTTCAATGCCGGCAGCGCCGACATGGTCGACTTCCACCTCTCCGTCCTCTCCGCCGTCCTCGGCACCTCCCACCAATACCTGCGCATCCAGGTTCGTACCCGCCTACCTATTACAATTAGTAATTTATACTCCAAAAACATAAAAAAGAGGATAGTCTTTATTTTTGGCATCGATTGATACATGTAGCCATCCATCATCTGTTGTAGTAATGACTCAATGATCCGTTGTAAACGCAAGTGCAGTATGATAAACTGAGCGGGAGTGCGGGTTCGATCGACGACTCCTCCAAAGCCAACTTGGATAGGTTGGTGAAGATTGGTGAAGAGCTGCTCAGCGAGAAGGTGTCCGGGGTGGACCTGGAGACCGGCCGGAATGTGGAGGTGCCCGGCGGGGGCACCAACGCGGAGGAGCTAGCTAAGTATGCAAAGCAGCTCTCCGACAAGCGGCGCAAACGCCGCAACAATTAATATGTGCCTGCTCGAACCAAACTAGCAATTGCATGCTAGTTAATGTGTGTGTTTAAGTTCACTTTTACGTTTAGTTTGGGAGTTCAATCTGTTTGATTTATGTCGTTCGTAAATTCTATGGTGCTGTTGTAATAGTCCTGTGCAAAAATCATTGGCACAAATAATATTATGATATTAATATGTGGTTTATGTGACGTGGAAATGATATCACTAGATTTGTTTTCAAAAGTCACATAATGATAATTGTGATTTTGCGTTACATATATAAACCATGTTAACTGAAGTTTCATGGCCATTGTTAGAGTTAACAAAATCTGATGAGTCATATATCATGAACCAGAAATGCTATTTCTACCTAATATTTTTACGAAATTTCTACGCACAAATAAGGTGGAGCTCTGGGCTGCAACCACCTCAGCACAGAGTGAGTCTGGTGCTGCTCTAATACACTGCATGGTTTTTCCTATCTTGGACACGGTGTGAGGTGTCAACCCTCAACACCGATGCGCCCTGTGCACATAATTCACGCTCTATATAGGTTCTAAACCTCTTAATATAGTTGCCTTTTATGCACTAGTTTGCTCAAGAATCCTTGATCATTCACTTTTGAGTCGTATGTATCAGTGTATGTAACCTCTCCGTTCTGGTTTGTATGGTTGCGACTTGCAAGTATCCATAAATTGTCAATTTAATCAACGTGTTACAAGTTATACTCCCCCTGTTCCGTTATATAAGGTGTATTTGTTTTTTCAAAAGACAAACGAGTGCATGTTTGACCAAGTTTTTTTACAAAAATACATCAATACCCACAATACAAAATTTATATAATTTGATTCATCATGAAAACTAGTTTCATATTTTATCTATTAGATATTGCAGATGTTGTTAGTTTATTCTATAATCTTGGTCAAACATTCAAATGGTTGACTTGTACGGAAATCAATACACCTTTTATTCTGGAACGAAGGGAGTATGTTATAACAACATACCATTAGAAACTTTTCTGTATATGAATTCAATGGTGTGATTTTTAGGACATATATTTCATATTGGGTTAGCAAAACAATCCCTTCGGATGTATTATAAAAAGGTAAAGAAAGAGCAACTTGTAAGCCGAGGAGGCTTCCCAATGACATAAGCAAGGATAATGTTTGACTTGCATGCAGAGGGACACCTGCTATCCTTATCCACATCGATCTTCATACTATTCCAACTATACATGTCCTGGAGAGAAATCAATACGTGCATCCATATGCAATAGTGTCAGTCAGTAGTAGTTGACCCGTTACTTTTTCCATACACTATATATTTGGACACACACACGCACACGCACACGCACACGCACATGCACAGGCACACACGCACACGCACGCACGCACGCACGCACGCACGCACGCACGTCAATACTCAACAGGTGAAATATTACCGTCTTACTCAACGAGCATATTTACTATCAACACGTGAAATATTATTGTCTTACTCAACATGACCATAGAACAGGTATCCCTAGATTTGTTTCCAAAAGTCACTTATTAAATGATAATTGTGATTCTATATTGCATATAAAAATCATGTTAATCAAAGTAATTTATGGTCAAAGTGTGTACCCATTTGACCTCCTCACGCGACGGCCCAGACTATTAGAGTTTCTTCGCCTGCCATTTGTGCCGCTGGCGATCCGCCTCATCTCTGGTGGCCTTAGGGCCGTGGAGGCGTGGTGGACCTTGGACCTTACCAGTAGGAGGGTTCCTGTTCCTTTTTTTGGTGTTTTTTTGAGATCGATAAGGATTTGTGTTGCGGCTGCTTGAAGATGGTATAAGGTCCTCCCCACCTAGCCCGCATTACCGACGGTGCGTCTAGCATCGTTGTAGGGCATGCGAAGGTATGCCTCTTAAGGATGACATGGAATTGAGTCGGTGTTGTAGTTAGTGAATCTCCGTGCATCCAGACTTCGTTCGTGTGTCTATAGGTTGGATCCTTCTGATCTACACTTCTCTTCATCAATGGCGATTGGTGTTCTGGTGCGCTGGTCCTGTGGGGCCTTACTATGACAACTTCTCGACTATCTACTACAATATTGCCTGGCTTCAGCGAGAAAGGGGCGATGACGGCAGCGTGCCTTTAGCTCGCTCCAATGGTTGTATACGTCCGTAGGGGTCTATGGACCTAGATGTAATTTTGTTGTTTCTGTTGTTCGTTATACTGCCATGAAAGATGATGGATAAATTGAAAGCTTTCCAGCAAAACAAGTGTTGTCAAGTTAACAAAATCTGGTACACCCAGAGAGTATGAACAATTAAATTATTATTTCTTTGGCTAAGCACAAACATAAATTTCTGGTCTTTGGGGAGATATTGTGAATTGTTTATTAGCAAGTGAGACCCCATCTGATTTTAAGAAAGGTACTGCTGCAAGATTCTTACTACCCTAGAAACGGTATGAGGTGTCAATCCTTGACATCACTATCAGTACCACTGCCACACATAGTTGATGCTCTAAGCCGGATATAAATCTCTTATCACTTTTGACGCATTAGCTCCGCTCAAGAATCCTTGAAGACCCGATTTGAGCTGTATGTATTGTTGTATACTCCCTCCCTTACAGCAACTCCCATATCTCACATCATCAATTTGACTAACGTAATGAAGAATATATAATAGAAGTCATATGCTAGAAATTTCTTGTGAATACAAATTCAACGATATACTTTTGAAGCATATAGCACATATTTTGTTTATGATTGCCTAAAGTAGAAATGCGTGCATACCTTATTATAAACCAAAAGAGAAAGAGTAACTTGCAGGTCGAGGAGACGTCCTAATCACATAAGCAGGGATAATGTTTGACCTGTTGTATTTGTTCGGCATGCGTGTAGAGGACACCTGCGATGTTAAATCCACATCGATGCTCCTTCCAGCTATATGCCATGCTGTGGAAATAAAGACGTGCACGTAAGTTAGTTGGCCAGTTACTTTTGCATGCGCTGTATATCTGGACAAAGAACAGCTACATTAGTGTCTTGCTCAACCTGACAATCATAGTTAACCTTTCTTGCTACAAATAGCGTCATTGATATTGACTGCTCTAGCACGTAGAAAGCTACTTAGGAATTCTATATCGGTTGCTTTGAACTGGTATACACCAGGAAATAAGATGGTGTGGCTCAGATATTTTAGTAGAGAAGTCACAGATGTTCTAAGAGGAGTAAATTGCAGACACATCGCATGCACATATGGACTTATACACATTTGAATATTTCCATAGACAATCATGTACTCAAATCCGTAAATATGTACAACTGCATCAAGGACCGGCAAATCTCGTGACCCAAATCCATAAGGGCATCTCCAGCCATTGGCACCCCCAGGAGGCGTTTTTTTCACCGCTTGGGGGGCTGCCGGCGAGATTTTAAGCCTGGGGCTGAAATTTCTTTCAGTCGTTTGGCCCCCCAGGCAGCAACGAGCCGTCGGAGCAGCGCCAAGCGCGGGAACTGCGCGAGATGCGATCACCGGCCGGCCGTTTCCGGCCACGGCTGGTCGCGGGGGTTTGTTCGCTGGAACGCCCGCAGTGCGGCGCGTCCAGCAGTGGTCGTTGCAGCCGCCGACGTGGGGTGTAGCGACGGCAGCGACGGGCAGAGCGGCGGCCGTGTTGCGGGTAGCTAGCGACCCAACGGAGCAACGAGGCAGCGTTAGTAGAGCACCCGGAGCACGACGGGCAGCTGTGCATGGCGGGATGAGCTCGGCATCAAGCAGAGCATCGGCCATGGCGGACGGCAGCGCTCGGTGCTCCCGGGGACGACGGTTACGGCACGAAATCAAGCGAGAGGGGTGGTCAGCGAGCTCGGGAAGGCGGCCATGAGGAAGAGCACCGACACCCAGTGCCCCCGCCGCGGCCAGCGACGCTAGGAGGAGCGGCCGACTCACCGGAACGTGCGCCCAAGCCGGACGGGGCGAGCAGGCAGGGAGCAAGGCGGGCGCGGAGGAAGCCGCGGGAGGTGGAGCCGGCGCGAGCCAACCAGCCGGCATGCGGGAGGCTGGCCGGGCAAGGCGGCGAGCGGAAGGGGCCGGACTCGGCGCCACTGCTGGAGCCGGACAGGGCGATGGTGAGGTACAGCGCCGGCACGCGCACCACGGTGTCCCGCGAGGTCTCGGACGAGCGGAGACGTGGCGTCCTCCCCGCGAGCTCCGTCGCGCGCCCCGTCCTTCCTCCTCCGCCATGGCCGTCGGGGGCACGAAGACATCGACGCCACCCTCCTCCTCGTCCGGCTCTTCGTCGTCGGCGGGTGCTTCTTGGGCGGGGGCAGGAACTCCCGTGGCCGCGCGCGCCCGTGGCCGCCCCGGCCATGCCTGCTCCGGCCTCGCCCGTCCCGGCCTTGCCTGCTCCGGCCTCGCCCATACCGGCCTTGCCTGCTCCGGCCACGGCCCCGCCTCGCCAGCTCCGGCCAGCGCCTGCCTCGGCCAGTGCCCGCCCCGGCCGCGCACGGCGAGCTCCTGCCTCGCCCGCCCGTAGTACATGGAGAGTAGAACCGGGGAGAGAGGGAGTGTGGGCGTGGAGAGGAGAGAGGGAGTGTGCTGCATGTGGGTGGGCCTGGAGAAGAGAAAGGGGGAGAGAGAGAGGCTGGCAAGTGGGGCAGCGCCTGCAAAAAGCTAATGCCGGCGTCCCCAGCTGCCCCCTGGTGGGCTGGGTGCGGGGTGAGCGTGCCGGCGCTAACTTTTGCTAAATCCGGCGCAAAACGACGTATTGGGGCCCTGACTGGGGCGTTTTTTACTCGTCGGCGTTCAAAAAAGCGCCTGGGGGGGCTTCTTGGGGGCCTTAGTGGAGATGCCCTAAGGAGCATAACGCCGCCTCCTGGCCCATCATTTCCGACGGAGGGCCCGCCGCCGCTATGAGTGGAACCACTGTTCCGGGGCCCTTGTGTCGTACTCCCCCCGTTTCTTTATATAAGGTGTATTTGTTTTTTTTAAGTCAAATGAGTGCATGTTTGACTGAGTTTCTAGAAA